TTTAAGGCTAGAAGATAAGGCCCTCATGAAAAGTGACACATTTTATTTTTAAATGTTTTCTAATGCTACTATAAGCCCATAAAAATTGTATGCTCAGCCTATTTCATTTTAAAGTTCTCAGTATACATTTTGACTCCAATATTAATGCATGGTGGGTTGTTTCTTGTTTTGTTTGTTTGTTGTTTTCACTCTCTCGGACGCGCAGAAAAGAGGAAAACCAGCCTCCTGGACCAGCTGACCAACACCAGCGGGACCGTCATCGGCGTGACGTCCTGCATCGTGATCATCCTGATTATCATTTCTGTCATCGTGCAGATCAAACAGCCTCGAAAAAAATACGTCCAGAGGAAATCAGACTTTGACCAGACGGTTTTCCAGGAGGTGTTTGAGCCTCCTCATTATGAGTTATGTACTCTCAGAGGGACAGGAGCAACAGCTGACTTTGCGGATGTGGCAGATGACTTTGAAAATTACCATAAACTGCGGAGGTCATCTTCCAAATGCGTTCACGACCACCACTGTGGATCTCAACTGTCCAGCACGAAAGGCAGCCGCAGCAACCTCAGCACAAGAGATGCTTCTCTCTTGACGGAGATGCCCGCACAGCCCGCCAAACCCCTCATCCCGCCCATGAACAGAAGAAACATCCTGGTCATGAAACACAACTACTCGCAAGATGCTGCAGATGCCTGTGACATAGACGAAATCGAGGAGGTGCCAACCACGAGTCACAGGCTGTCCAGACACGATAAAGCCGTCCAGCGGTCAGTATCAATAGATTTTTTGATGACAACTATAACCTGAGGACTGTAATACTTCCAGAGTTTTGTCTTCTAGTCTGTCTTCATATTTCAGTTTCCCCTTGATTAATGATTTAAGCCATAGTGTCTCAACTTTTTTCTTCATTTTCCTTTTCGGTGTTATCCATACACTTAGTAAGTCCCATCCATGTGCATGATACATGTATGTGTGTGAACACACATGCACACACAGACCAAAGATATTTCAGTTGTTTCTAAACATACAAATATCTATTTCTACAAAAATTATGAGTTTTAATTTATAATACAGATTTATATTGATAATTTGATTCCCCATGGTCGTTAATGTTGCTCCCATCAATATTTATGTATTTTAAGATACGAAATGATATTTGGAAACAATTGCCTTACCAAGATGGCTCCCCCATCTTGCTGAATAATTTTAATCCAAAAATAACATATTTTGCAATATAATATATTTATTTTTGGTATGAAAATGAAAATACTTTTATTTCACATATCACATAATACTTATATGAGAAATTACATATGATAGCATGGTATATTAAACATTTATATTTAAATACAGCAAGAATTATTAGAAACATTTGATTTGTTTTCCTTTTAATATAAATAGAGTATTATCTGTGTTATAGAATTAGTCCTAAAATTAGTGAAAGTTTTGAGGAAAAAAATTTAAAATAATTTTTTAAATTCCAAAATCCAGTCTGCTTATACTTTGTTTTGCATGTTTACCAGCATATAGTTTATTGTATAAATTGACATGCTTTCTCCATTCATTATACACTCTCAAAACCTGAAATATTTTAGTTAATTTGATATGTTTTGCATGCTGATGAAAGAGACATCTATCACCACAGTTTTATGAATTTTAGGAATGCTCTTAGTAAGTATTTGTGTGGATACATTTATTTTTGTGCAAATATTACTTTGTTGAATGAAATAGCCGTAACATTCCAGGTTCTGCCTCATTGGGTCTCTAAGCAAACATGAATCTGAATACAACACAACTAGGGTCTAAACAGAAAATTCAAGGTAAGCAAATGCCCTTGGTTCCTTCTCACACTTTGTTGTATTCTGTTTTGTTTTGTTTTGTTGCAATCATCTTGTAGCTTTTTAGGGAATGTGCTATTTATTCATTATTTCTTGAGATATGTGTTTCATGACATTTCATGATTAGAAGTATAATGAATATTTGATTCATTGCTAATAGAGGGTTGATGCTGAGGATACATGTCTTTAAAATAAATGTTAACATTCTTACCATCAAGCAGTGTACCAAAATCTTGTTAAAAAGAACATCAAATTAATAAGCTAAATTTTACATGTTTTAAGGAAAAGATAATATAATTAATGAATTTTCTTCAAAGAAATACCAGAAGAAACCCAAGTTCTTTGAAATAAAAATATTAGAATATTCAGTCTCAATACAGCTGAAGTAAATATATAGAACTGGTATTTGCTTTATAAAATTTGGCAACATTCTACTCAAAATTCATACTCTAAGCATTTGGTGGTACTTATACGGTTTATGCACTCTTATTTTTGCATGCATATGTAATTTATCTCATCAAAATTAAATGCAGCATGTTATGTCAAATTTTATGACATAAAATTTGAATGCTTGATAATGTACAAGGTTCCATTAATACAAGTTGTCTACATGTACATCTATTTTGTTATCAGATATCATAATGGCTTTACTTACTGCACTTGATAGTCTATACCTATACTAGCCTAATATGTCTCCAGTTAAATTTGCTTGACAGTTATTTCTTCAAAACTCTTCAAGCCTATCAACTATTCTTGAATTAGGTGAATGCATTTCCATGCTCTATATTACCTTAATAAATTGGTGTATTTGTATGCATTTTTCATTGGGAGAAAATGTTTTAACTGTGTTTTATTTTCAGAGAAGAACTATTTATACAAACATGGGGACTATGAAAAGAAAATTCTATAGCGAATTGGGAAAAGTGGACATATTTCTAAATTCATTCCACTGCCTTTATCCAAACATAAGAATTACAGACATTTGTTATTCCTTCGGCAAGACATCCCCGCTGCACAATGATATGTTCATTTCGTAATTTGGTTGCTGGCCACCAAGTGCTCCTTAGTTTTTAAATACATTTTAAGATTTACTGGAAACTTGAAGAAGAAATTAGTTCCTGATTAAGACTACCCCAACTTTATTTTTGCTGTCAGTTTCACTTTTGTTTCTATGTTGTTTTATGTCTTTGTTATATAATTGTACATTGTGTGATGTGAAAAAAAAACATGAATTTGGATGAACCTTGTGTTACATGTACATTGTTTTCATTATATAGACTGCTTGAGAATAGTGCGTTCCTGAGTGATTTTGAACATGCTACAGTGAAAAGTGAAAATGTGGACCATGGAAACACCAGCTAGAGGTCTATGGACTATATACACACCTGTTGTTATATGATGATTAAATGCAGCAAAAAGTAATGAGTAAAATTACTAGGTTGCAATAAGAAAAAAAATCTCATTTTTGTTCTCTCCTATATACCCCTGATTTCCTTTTTGTTTTATATCAAAAGAAAATACCGAGTTTCAGAAATAGTTTTTGAAATAAGGTATTTTACCATTCATACCCTACAATAGAAATGTTTTTGATTAAGCACTTAGCAATATGACTGTATTGACAGTTTGAGAAAATACCTTGCATGTCAGTACTGGATATTTGAGTTGGGAAAATATCCTTTTTGTTAGGCACATTGTAAAAAGCATGCATTCTCAAATACTGCTGTTACTGTTCCATTTCTTTTGGTCATATGCTTGCTACTTGTAACTTTTTATATAAAGATATATAAAATGTATAATAATTTCCTAACTTGAGTTAAGAGAAATGTTTTCTTCTATTAGAGTGATAAAAAAGCTGACTCTTATAAGTACACATTTTATATCAACTCTTTCCACCTTTCAGGGTACAGAAGATCCTTTAGTATTGAAGTTTACTTCCCCAAATATTTGACTTCTAAAAGTTTTGGGAATATGTTCTCCTTTTAGAATAGGAAAGTATTTTTTTAGATGCTTTAAAATCACAGGCCCTTTTATGACCTAAATTACACCATTCTCCATTATTCTTATACTCAGGCACGAATATGACACCCAGAGGATTAGTGATTATGATGTATTTCATATAAATAAAGTAAAATCCTAAAATGTATTTCATTGGTGTTGAATTGTATACACATTCTATAAAGTTTGATTTAGTGAGTGGGTACTTTAAAAATATTGTATGTATAATCTTTAAAAAAATGAAAAGTCAGAATTAATATAAATCTGTTATCAACATTTTCAAAACTACTGAATTCTACAGGCTAAAAGAATTCTGTTCTTCAACTAGCATAGCAATCTGGTCTACCACAATTCAGACCTTGCAATTCAAGCAGGTTTTACAAACCAAATAGATAAATTATTGTTTTACATCTCTGTTAGGAATTCAATTTCTGCTGGGCGCGGTGGCTCACGCCTGTAATCCTAGCTCTCTGGGAGGCCGAGACGGGCGGATTGTTTGAGCTCAGGAGTTCGAAACCAGCCTGAGCAAGAGCGAGACCCCATCTCTACTAAAAATAGAAAGAAATTAATTGGACAACTAAAAATATATAGAAAAAATTAGCCGGGCATGGTGGCGCATGCCTGTAGTCCCAGCTACTTGGGAGGCTGAGGCAGGAGGATCGCTTGAGCCCAGGAGTTTGAGGTTGCTGTGAGCGAGGATGACGCCACAGCACTCTAGCCTGGGCAACACAGTGAGACTCTGTCTCAAAAAAAAAAAAGAAAGAAAGAAAAAAAGAAATTCAATTTCTTATATTAAAAAACAAGTAAATGAAAAATAAAACAAAATTTTATAATAGAAAAATCAAAAAATTATCACAACTTTGAATACTCTATATTGAAAAAATGTCAACCTACACAAATAATCACTTCCAATGAATTTGATAAAGTGGGGAATTGAAAAAATGTATTGAACATGATGAATACAAATTACTTTTGAATGTCATGCTACACATCTTTATACACATTGCTTATGATAAAATGTACTCTTTTTATTTGGCTTGACCAATTTATTTATTACCATGCTTACTTTTAGGCCCTTTAATTCAGAGTTAATGCACCAAAGATTATTTTTTAAATGATTAGTTGTATTTTATATTGCTTTCTCTATTTAGATATCTTCATAGGACTCCTTTCACTTTGAATGATAATCTCAAAAAGTATGATATACATGTCAAGACTTTTTATTTACAATAGCAATAAAGATAGGAAAATAAATTAGGTGACCGTTTCACCATTCACTTGTCCTGTAGCTGCCCACAGAATTTCCATCCCCTCCAATTCCTCCTAAACACACAGATGATCCCATGCTTAAAAGATATTTACATCAGAAATGCACTAATGGAGACTTTAAAAAAAAAACCCACCAAACTAAACTAAGTAAAATAGTAAGAATGAATAGCTCACTTGGATTTAATACACAACATCTTCATGGGAAAACGAAAACATTTCAAATGAAGAAGAGAACTCCTCAGTGGTAATACTAGAATTATTTAACAACATGCAGGCACTGACTCGTCAGGAAAGAAGATAGTGATGATGTTGGGCCAATGTCCTGGAGTCATGCTATTTTCCCGGCAATAGCTCTGGATGCTGGATCTTGGGAGTCCAGGGCTTCAGCAGAGCTGGGAGATGTTCCCTCCAGAGCTCTGGAGGTGCCTGTTTAAAAACCAGCATTGAAATTTATCAGTATATTAAAAACTCCTATTTAATGGCTACATTGGATCTTTTCACCTGAAAAGATCAACCTTTGACCGACATTCAAAAGAGGATGACATATGTAGATAAGGAATGAGATGTTTCAAGACGTTTAAGTCAAGTTATTTTAATAAATATATTTTTTGATAAAGTGAATTCAAATATTAACATAAGTGCTTTATTAATTCAATAAGATGGCTTTAAATAATGTATTGAGTTAGCCCACTATGTTAATTTGATAAAGCTATATTTTAAATTTTGTTTTTCTATGTTTGAATTCGCTTTTCAGAATCTCAGTGGCATATCGTAATTACAAGCATCACCTGTGAAGCCCTGAATTAAGCTTTGCACTTCTGTCCAAGTGCACTTTCGTTGCCTACTTCAAAGTGTTCCGATTTGGAAATACGATTTTTGGTACCTATTTTAATACACATGCCAATTTTATGTATCACCTTGCAAAATAGACATATGTGATGTTTGATTTGCCGTAATTAGCCTTGATTTGTTAGATAATTACAGTGGCTATAAACATATTTGAGGTCAATATCATTGGGCTGTTAATGGAGAAAAACCCACATTGTGGAGTTGCTGACTTTTCTGTTTCACATTACCTTTTTTCTACTAAAAATCTTCCAATGAGTCTAATTCACTCC